ACCTATGAATTTGAAGAGACGTAAGAGACAAATCAACCAATTACAATATATTGATTGCGTTTGTATAATTAAATCTTCTGATTGGATATTTGATGACATTCATGATTTTTGATATTTATACGTGATAACAATATTGCATATTATGCATACACACATATATTCTTTAAGTTATCCTTTGGAGATATGTACAGATTTATTTACAGAGGAAGTGAAAGCCAAATTCAATGTGAAATGATGATTGAAAACATACACTTTTACAAAGTTAATAACCAAGACATTAATTACCTTAGACTCTAGAATGTTATAGAAAATTTGACTTATTCCATATGTCCATACATAAATAAGAAAAGCACTATCAACTCAATAAACAGGGGCAAAAGACACAGCATTTTCTACGAAGAAATGTATATAGTGTTTTGCAAGTGTTGGAGAATATATAAATCCACCAGTTTTCTAAAGATTTTAGCACTGCCAAACTTTCTTTGGAAAACAGTTGGCGTTATCTTTTCAATTGGAACGTGCACAATAACTGTGACTCAGCAGTTATACTCATCAGTATATATCAAGAAGAAAATCTTGCCATATAGAAGAATGTTCGTATTAGTCCATTTTTACATTACTATAAAGGAATACTGAAGGATGGGTAATTTGTAAAGAAAAGAGGCTTAATTGGCCCACAGTTCTGCAGGCTGTACAGGAAACATGGTGCTGGCTTTTACTTCTAGTAAGGGTCTCAGGATGCTTACAATCATGACAGAAGGCACCTGGGAGCCAGGTTGTCACATGGTGAGAGGGGGAGCAAGAGAGGAAGGAGGAAGAGCTAGGCTCCTTTAAACAAGCAGCTCTCTCAGGAGCTGAGCAAGAATTCACTTATTACTGAGGCAATGGTGCTAAACCATTCATGAGGGATGGATCTATCCCCATGATACAATCACCTCCCACCAGTCCCCATGCCCACCATTGGGAATCACATTTCAACATGAGATTTGGAGGGGATGAACATACAAACCATATTAATGTTCACAGCAGCAAATAATAGCAACATTGTAGAGACAACCTAAATAGTCTTTAGTGGTAGAGTAGATGAATAAACACAATAGGATATTATAACAATGGTCAAATCAAATAACTATAGCAAACACAACAATAGGAATGAATCTCAATAAAATAACTACTGGAATATTACATAGAGCGTGATACCTGGTTTTTAAAGCAAAGAACAGTTTAACGTGTATATGAATTTGAATTATTCATATATATGAAATATATATATGTAGAGAGGGGATACACACATGCATATGTACGTATATAAACTGAATAAAAGAGGTGGGAAGGAAAGGATTAACAGGGGTTTCATGATGACAGCTACATTGGGTGAGAAGCAATGGGATGGGGAAGGTGGATCCCTGTATGAATTAGATGGAAGCTGTTGTCAAGGTCTTGGCCTTTTGTCTGAGTGATGGGTTTGTAGGTATTACATTATTAAAAATAGTAATTAAATAAAAGATCATTCATGGACTACTGAAGACAAGTGTCATGAACCAAGCATGATTGATACATTTCTATGTAACTGAGTTCTAACTAAAGAAAAAACTTATGTGTATGTAGCTACGTAAATAATGTTCTAAAATCTCGATAGATTTGATCACCAAAAAGGTGTACTCCTATATGTTGATTTTTGGCTAACTTTGGAAAGATTTCTCTTTTTTTTATTTTTGTATACTATTTTATGTGGCTATTGCCTAAAAATGAATATAACTTGGTCAACTGGAAAATGCTTAGGATTTTTCTGGATAATTAATTTTTTTTTCTTTTTTTTTTACCAATTAGAAATGCTGTTTCCGAAAAAATTTTAAAGTACATTAGTTTACTTCTCTGCTGTACTAAGAAAATAATACTGACATGTATGAATGATTCATGATTGAATTTTTTATAGTGCTTCAATGTACTTGTATTTTAGAGAGCACAAGAGATTTGATTTACTCAGGCCAGGCTTAGAACGTAATCCTGGAATTTGCCTTTTCCACTAAATCCTTAATGTAAAACTGTCTTTTTAGGACTCCTTCCTTATGAAATTTGTTTCCCTTTGTCCCTACTCCATCTGGTTAGGGGTGGGGGACAATGGGAAATTTGATTGGTTGAAGTTTTGCTGTAATTTTGCTATGACTTTTCAGTTTTAGATTACTCTGGTTTTGGCTCCAAGCACTCACATTATTTAAAAGTGCTAATTTATACATTTACATAAATACCTACTTTGTTATAGGCACTTTAGTAAATACACATTCATTAATCAAATTATTGTAATAATAAAAACATATAATTACAAACTGAGGTGCGTGTTCTGAAGCTCAGGGGAACGCATCTGTGAGTGCAAAAAGGTGGACTTAGGAAGTCCTGGACTTAGGAAGTGACTTTTAAGCTGAGATCTAAAGGATGATTAGGGCTTAGGTCGTAGTATAGGATTCAGGTCAGTGAAAACAGCTTATACAAAGGAGCTGTAGCAGGAGGAGGTACAGCATGACTAACACTGAAAAATGTAGTGTGACTCAGTGTTGTAACTTAAAGGTGAGACCAAACAACAGAGATGGCAAGGGCCTGATTTATTCAGGACCTAAGAGCAATGGGAAACCTCTGAAGATTCTAAATTGAGAGGCTACTGGAGATCATATTTGTGTTTGAAGAGAATATTTAATGTCTGTCTTTCTGGCTGAACTGTAAGCTCCACGAGTAGAGACACCAACTTTTGTTCTCACCGAGTACAAGTAGGTACTCAATAAATGTTGTGTCACCATTTAGTAGCTTAATGTCTGGCAGACAGTAAGTGCTTAGTAATGTTATGGTTTTCATTGCTCTAGACTGGCTTTTAGTGTAAGACAGTGGCTGCTAAGGATTTAGAGGTTTCATGAAATAATTCATTCCAAGAATATTTATTGAATACCTGTGATATACTCAGAAATTGCAGCTAAATTTATTTATTAGAATGTCATCACTTCTTTTCTTTTGTGCCCCATCTAGGATGTACAGAGCATAAAAGTGATTGAGAATTGTTACTAAATCAGACCAGCCTACAGTGAGGTGCTACAGCAGATGCACCTGCCCTACGCTATTCACTTTGGTGCTTATAAAGATAGCTTTTATGAAACTATTTCTTCTAGAGTTCTTGGTGTAATTACCTTTCCAAAGTTCATTTGAAATAGTCTCAATTCTTCTTCAGTCATATTCATTTATTTTATATAAATTAGGATACCTTGCCATGTTTCTTCCCAAAGACTAATAATTGCCATTAAAAATATTTCTTCTGGCCAAGTGCGGTGGCTCATGCCTGTAATCCCAGCAATTTTGGGAGTCCAAGGCGGACAGATCACTTGAAGTCAGGAATTCGAGACCAGCCTGGCCAACATGGTGAAACCCCATCTCTACTAAAAATACAAAAATTAGCCGGGCATAGTGGTGCATGCCTGTATTCCCAGCTACTCGGGAGGTTGAGGCAAGAGAATTGCTTGAACCCAGGAGGTGGAGGTTGCAGTGAGCTAAGAACATGGCCACTGCACTCCAACCTGGGTGGCAGAGTGAGACTCTGTCTCAAACAAAAGAAAAAAAAAACAAAACTAATTTTAAAGTCTCCAAAACTTGGTTTGGTAAAATTGTGTATAGGGGTGTAAGTTGTAGTTTTTGGGCAAAAAAATTTTTTTATCAAATAAAGCTAATTTTTTTTTTCTTAGTTTTTAATGTGCCCAGCTTTGGATGCCTAGAAACACAGACACACAGACACAGACACAGACACAGACACACACACACACACACACACACACACACACACACAGTTAGTTAATTTTTCATGATGGGAATTGTTTAACATTTACAAAAGTAAAGCGGTGAGACGACCTCATGTATGTCTTATTCAGCTTCAACAATAGTCAATTCATTGTTTTATCTGTTTCCCCCCATTTCCCCTATGCCAGATTATTTTGAAGCAAATCTCAACATTATCTTTTTAATCTGTAAACTCTTCAGTATTTACTCTAGAAAATACTTTTTAAATTCTAAATAACATAAACATAGTATCATTATCACATCTTTATTAAAATAATTAACAACATTATCCACCACTAATCAGCATGTAGACTTTCCTGATTGTTTCATAAATGCTTTTTTAAGTTGGTTTATTTGAATCAGAATCAAAATAAGTCTATTCAGCATAATTGGTCAATATGTCTCCTGTGTTACTTTTAACATATAGTTTATCCTTTGCCTTTTTTTCTTGCATTTTGTTTGTTGAAGAAATGGTCATTTTTCACTTTCTGGATTTTGCTGAATGTATCTCTGCAGTATCATATTATGTGTCCAGGAAAATATATATATATATTTTACAGAAATGAGGTCTTGCTATGTTGCCCAGGCTGGTAAAATACTGACTTTAGAAGATATGTTCCACTTAACTGCCAACATAATGCCTATGCTTTTCAAAATCGGTTCCATAAAATTGAAGATCAGTTATTTTCTTTTCTTAGCACTTTCATGTATATTCTGTTTTAGTTTGTTTTACTGTCAATTCCCCAAAACATTGCCCTGAGCTCAGGTGATTCTCCCACCTTGGCCTTCCAAAGTGCTGGGATTATAGGCATGAGCCACAATGTCTGGCCCAAGTATATTTTCTATTTATCTTTAAATATGTGATACCTCATCTCCTTTGACTGTAAACAAATTTTTGTTTATATGGAAAAAAATCAATGCTTAACTTAGTTGTTGAAGAGGGAAAGATTTCAAAAATTATGTAAACATGAAAGGGAGAATGTGAAGGAATGGCCATCAGCCTCAAGAAATAGAATAATTTTGTAATGGTCCATGTTTATTGCTCTGTGATTATTTTGATAACATATAATTTGTTGCCTAAAGTATTATAAAACATTGAAATAGAAAATTGTAGCAAGAGTAGATATACCAGGTTGATTTTGGTTAAAGTAACATATTTCGTTAACTTTTTTTTATTAACAAAAAAGATACCAGGTGATCAGCACTCCAACAGATTTTTTTATGGTAATGGAATATGTGTCTGGAGGTGAATTATTTGACTACATCTGTAAGCATGGACGGGTGAGTAACATACTATCTGGTACACTAAACCTCTAAACTAATAAAAAAGAAAGTATTGGGAAATAGCACAATGCAAAGATATCTTCAAGGTTGAAGTCGCTTTTATAATAATGCTCAACTAAACATATAGAGTATTAGACAAATTTTCTTTCTTAAGAAGCATACCTTTTGAAATACTGATTTTGGAAAACATGTTCCACTTAATTGCCAACACGATGCCTATGCTTTTCAAAATCTGTTCCGTAAAATCATGTTGAACATCAGTTATTTCCTTGTCTTAGCACTTTCACGTATGTCCTGCTTTAGTTTGTTTTACTGTCAATTCCCCAAAACATTGTGCACATTTAATAATATTAATTGAAATTTAAATATTAGTGCTTAGCAACAAAGAAAAACTTGTCTATTGACATGTTGAGCTTTGACAAGCTTTTGGTTTGTCTGATTTGTTGAGAATTCCAGCACAATTCAAGCTTGCTTAATTATATGTAGCCTGATTATGAAACTAAAAATCTTGTTAAATAGATGTATCAGATATTATTATTATTTTTTTTGAGAGAGACTCTTGCTCTGTTGCCCAGGCTGGAGTGCAGTGGCGTTATCTCAGCTCACTGCAACCTCTGCCTCCCGGTACAAGCAATTCTCCTGTCTTACTCTCCCGAGTAGCTGGGACTACAGGCACATGCCACCATGCCTGGCTAATTTTTGTATTTTTAGTAGAGATGGGGTTTTACCATATCGGTCAGACTGGTCTCGAACTCCTGACCTCAGGTGATCCACCTGCCTCAGTCTCCCAAAGTGCTGGGATTACAGGCGTGAGCCACCATGCCCAGCCCCAGATATTCTTAATGCAGTTTCTTTTATGCTTGATAGGTTGAAGAGATGGAAGCCAGGCGGCTCTTTCAACAGATTCTATCTGCTGTGGATTACTGTCATAGGCATATGGTTGTTCATCGAGACCTGAAACCAGAGAATGTCCTGTTGGACGCACACATGAATGCCAAGATAGCTGATTTTGGTATGTAACTCCAGGGTTGTTCAGAAATGTACTAGCTACCTTTTAAAGCATAACAATTCATTGAAATAAGAACTTTCCATGTCAACCTTGTACATTCTGTACCATGGAAAGGGATTAGCTGAAATCTCCTCAGTAGCTTTTTCTATTCACTTAAATACACTTTAAAAATGCAGATACCTCCAGAGAAGTTAGATGGCTGTCATCAAGATAAATCCATTCAATCTGCATTTTCTCCTAAGGAAATGATGCATAACTGTTTTTTTGTTTGTTTGTTTGTTTGTTTGTTTGTTTTTTGAAGAGAGGGGAGGAGTCCCAAACTTCTTTGAAAATCTCATGAAAGTATGGGCACTTTCCCTGATGAATGCATATAAACCGAGGTACCTGAAAATTTGCATGCAGTTGGAAAAAAGCCCTTCTGAATTGATCCACAAAGAGGTCCTTAGGGTAACATCTAATAACTTCATTAGAGAATAGTTTTTGTCAGAGGTAAAGGCACATAAAATGTGATTTTTATACTCCAAACACTTTCTGGGATAAATGTATGTGGAAAGGATGCCTTAATAGGATATTTGAGAAAAAGACTAGGAAATGAGAGATTAAAGAGAGAGATAGAAAGGTACCAGTTATTGTTGCCTATTTGTGGTCTATACCTTGTCTTTAATCTAAAAACTAGGAAATCGCTTTCTCTATTTCTCTTCCTTGTCTAAATCGTGAAACTTATTTAGTACTATAGCTCAACTAGATTTTTGGTTCAATAGATTATTTTTTCTATGTTGAATTAAATATTTCTAAATTAACTTTTGAAACATAATCTCTTTATGAGTTGGGGCCCATCTGGTTTCTAATTATAGAATTTAAAGAGGCTTCTGCAAAAAAGTAGTAGTCTGTATTTTATTCTTTTGACTATGGAAAAGGTAAATAATATTTTGATGTTTTCACGTTTGGGAAAGTCAGTATGCTTCAGAATAACCTCATTTGTGATGGGAATCAACATTTTCATTTAGAAAGGAAATTTAGTTTCACTCATACATGTGATGTGCTTTAGTTTTTTGTTATAGTGTAAGCACTCTGAGATGGTCTCTTTCCAGTTAAATGCTTTCCACTGCCTTTTTTTTTTTTTTAAGCACTAAAAAAACCAATGACGTATGCAGGATCAAGGACTTGAAATTTTGCTCATTTATATGACTTTATCTACTTTTAAAAATATCTAGCACCAGGTAAACATTACTTTTATTTTTAGGATTATCTAATATGATGTCAGATGGTGAGTTTCTGAGAACTAGTTGTGGATCTCCAAATTATGCAGCACCTGAAGTCATCTCAGGCAGGTAATAATCAGTGAAGCATAAGCTTTTTGTAATCTTGAGGTCATTTTGATAACATTTAATTATAATATATTCTCTATGGAAGGTAAGATTTTAACAGGGTAGAAATGAATTGTTCATTTATTTTTCCGTTGTTAAAGGGATAATGGTTATATTAAAAAATGTTAAACATTTCATTTAGATGTCATTATATACTTACGAAGTTTTCCCATTAGAAAAATAATTGAAGTGGATCCCGATTTAACATATCTTTCGTTTTACAAAAGTGCAGATAAGAGAGTAAGAATTTGCTAAATTTAAGCTAGTGCCATTATTTATTTATTAGATATAGTTCTTTAATAATACCTTGCGTATTTTCCGATGTATATAGAGCATTGTTTTATATTTTGTCTTTGGAAGAATGAGATTTTGGGGGACAATATTGTTTCATGAAATTAAACTATAAGTAGAGATTGTGTAGTTACTCATGTAAGTTATTCATTGGTACATTATAAAAATGTTTATACAGATTGCAATGGTAAACTCAAGTCTTTCTACAGTGATCAACGTGTGATTTTGAAAGTTAACAGAATCCCATGAGAGAAAATATGGTAAAAGTATTATTGCAAATAGCAGATACAGGATTATCTTAGTCCATGTGGGCTGCTATAAGAAAGATACAATAAAGTCGATGGCTTATAAACAACAGAAACTTATTTCTCACAGTTCTGAAGTCTGGGAAGTCCAAGATCAAGGTGCCAGCAGGTTTGGTATCTGGTGAGGGTCTGCTTCCTAATAGACTACCGTATGTTCACTGTAACTTCACATGGAGAAAGGGACGAGGGATCTCTCTGGGGTCGCTCTTATAAGGGCACTGATCCCATTCATGAGAACTCTGCACTAGTGACCTAATCATCCTCCTAAAGTCCCCACCTCCTAATACTATCTCCTTGGGGGTTAGAATTTCAACACATGAATTTTGGGAGGACATAAGCATTCAGTCTATTGCAAGGAGTTTGAAGAATACAGCAAATGATTTCCAGCATGGCTGCTAGATTTATACTCACACGTGGCATTCATACCATTTCTTTTGGAAAATAATCACCATTTTTTATATAAACAGATTATATTCTTTTCATTAGAATAGTAGAGATTTACTTTGTTACCACAGACCCAGGTTTGAGTATGGTAATATGCTATCATGGGAATTGTAATGCTGTCGAAATGTAAGAGAAAAAAGGAATAATACTATAAGCATAGGTTATCTGGATCAAAGCTAATTTTAGTCATATGATCTAGGAGGTGATGAGAGTGGAAATGGTAAGTACTCAGGATAATGTGATACAGGATACTGTCTACACAGTACTAATAAAGTAATGTTTTAAATCTCTCTCTATATATATAGATACACACACACACATATATATGTATGTATATATTTTTTGAGACAGAGTCTTGCTCTGTCACCTAAGCTACAGTGCAGTGGCACAATCTCAACTCACTGTACCACCTCCTGGGCTCAGGTGATCCTCCCACCTCAGCCTTCTGAGTAGCTGGGACTAAGGTGTACACCACCATCCCTGGCTATTTTTTGTATTTTTAGTAGAAACAGCGTTTCACCATGTTGCCCAGGCTGGCCTCAAACTCGTAGCCTCAAGCAATCCACCCGCTTCAGCCTCTCAAAGTGCTAGGATTACAGGCGTGAGCTACCGTGACCGGCCTTAAATATTCTTTAAAGGTGTGCCAGGGTAAAAATTCTATTACATGTGTATATTATATGTATATTTTCTTTCTTGTAATATTTCTTTGGGAAAAAGATTTAACCTATACACCATAGTATTTTTTCAAGTTCATGGTCATCTACTTTGTTCACCTCAAAAATCAACCACAGAAAGTATTATATTTTTTAATTAGTATGTTTCAGTTAAATGAATTTGTGACAAATAAAAATACCCTATTCACTTGGCAGATTTGAATAGTAGTTGGCTAGCCCCTTTACTCTCTTTGAGGAACAAATATTGAATACTGGGGAGCGGCCGTGGACTTCATTAAAGACCTTGGAAATGAATATGTACTGAATGTAGACTACCTATATATAGAAGTAGGGCACATAGAGAGGGAAAAAGTGATACTTGCATTTCAGGTTTGTGTCGTCATCTTTTTTCTTAGATTGTACGCGGGTCCTGAAGTTGACATATGGAGCTGTGGTGTTATCTTGTATGCTCTTCTTTGTGGCACCCTCCCATTTGATGATGAGCATGTACCTACATTATTTAAGAAGATCCGAGGCGGTGTCTTTTATATCCCAGAATATCTCAATCGTTCTGTCGCCACTCTCCTGATGCATATGCTGCAGGTTGACCCACTAAAACGAGCAACTATCAAAGACATAAGGTGATTATTCTTTTTGTTTCTGTTCTGCATATTTTCTCATAGGAATAATAATAATGTTAATTGAATGATTCTCCCAAAGTCTCATTTCCTGCCCTCACCACCTCACCCCTAGTACCAGTGCTTCAGCCACATTGAACTTGTCCTGGTTTCTCAAACCTAACGTAGATTTTATGCCTTCATGTCTTTGTTTATATTATTCATTTTGCCTTGATGCCTTTTCCGTTTTCTTTTTTTGACCTGCTAGACTTCCATTCATCCATTAAAGTTCATGCCACCCCTTTTGTGATTTCCACAGGTGCTTCCGTTTCTGTTTTATCAACATTTTGTTAATGCTTTTATTATTTAATTCTTGTCCAGGATTTAGTTGTTTCTCAGTGTGTCTTTTTTCTCTCTTAAATTATGATACCAGGGTAGACAGTGTGTCTTACTCATCTTTGACTATAGAATGCTAAAAGGCCTGGAAAGATGGTATGCTTAGAAAGTGTCTGAAGAAATTTCAAATGGAGAAATAGGGTGAGATTTATGTATTTTACATATGGTTGAAGACATAAAGCATAAAAAGTTTTGCTAAGTTTTTAAATTCAATAGCTGCTAATCGGCTTACTGTGAAGGCTTTTGTGTCACGTGAGAAACTTTGGAAAGTGCCATTGCTGATGCGCCTATGAATATGACCTTTGTATATCAGACACCTGTGTATAGTAGGAAGATGATTCATTGCATTCTGCCTATGACTTATCAAGGCATGTTTCTTAGAGGTTTTATGTTCTTACCTGAGATTTCATTCATGTTTGTTTACAAACATGTTCTTTTGACATCTTTCCAGAACTCTTCCCCTTTTCTTCATTAGCCAGCAAAGACTTTTTTTTTTTTTTGGCAGGGTCTCACTCTGTCGACCGGTCTGGAGTGCGGTGGTGTGATCACAGCTTACTGTAGCCTCAACCTCCCAGGCTGAGGTGATCCTCCCTCCTCAGCCTCCTGAGTAGCTGGGACTACAGGCACGAGCCACCACACCCAGCTAATTTTTTCTTTTTTGTATTTTTAATAGAAACGGAGTTTTGCCATGTTCCTCAGGCTGGTCTTGAACTTCTGGGCTCAAGTGATCCACCCACCTTGCCCTCCCAAAGTGCTGGGATTACAGGTGTGAGTCATTGCACCCAGTCCCAGAAAAGACTCTTTTGAGACCTCTGACCTTTGAAATATTTAAATGATGGCTGAGATAGCTGTTTATGTGACTGCTGCTGATTTCATGCAGGCAAGGACTGATGATTCTTTTTGCATTTATGTATCATTTTCTTTTCCCAGCCTTTCTTCAGTGTTCCAAACCCCATGCATAACAATGTAAAAGTGTAAATTAGCCACCAGATTTAATTATGAAAATGAACTTAGTAGGAAAAAAGCCCTTTGTCTTTATAGTTCTTTAGCATATATACTTCTGTTAATTGACTTTTTGTTAGAAAATCAGACATGCTGATATATTTGCAGCTGCTTGTATCAGCATATACGTTTAGAATAATAATGGGCTGGGTGCAGTGGCTCATGCCTGTAATCTCAGCACTTTGCGAGGCTGAGATGGGAAGATTGCTTGAGCCCAGAAGGTCAAGACCAGCCTGGTCAACATTTATATTAAAATTTTTTTTTATTAAAAAAACAAGTGGTAATAATACTGATTTGTTGCTTTAAAACAGATGTTTGCATATTTATAGACTTCAGAAGAAAAATGTAAATATATTTACTGGGAAGAGTAATTTGTACATAGGTAGATGGCATGAAAGTATCATTCATCTCTGTACTTTAATATGATAACTTGAATCTATAGTTTTCATCATTTTTTGCTTATATATATTTACTTACTTATATATATTCAGTTTTTTAATGTCTGGGAATTCTTTCCATTGTTCTAATTTTTTTTTTTTTTTTTTAAGAGATGGGGGTCTTGCTATGTTTACCAGGCTGGTCTTGAACTCCTGGCCTAAAGCAGTTTTCCCATCTCAGCCTCCCAAAGTGCTAGGATTACAGGCATGAGCCACCACACCTGGCCAATGTTTGGGAATTATTGATTTGATAAACTATAGTTCAATAGGGAAAATAATTACTAATTATTGAAAAATTACACAATACCAAGCATTTTGCTTTATGGCTTGACTTATGTTATTGCATTGACTTTTCATAGATAGCTAGAAACCATTTTATAAACCATGAAACTGAAGCTCAGAAAGGTTATGTCATGATTTATGTATCTGTTTGCCCCTATTAAATTATGCATTACTTTAAATTAGGGACCAATTATTAATTCATAGCAAAATGCACAAGATCTAACACATATTAAATGTTGAGTAAATCTGTGTTTGTTGAAAATTACACAGCTAATAAGAAGCACAACTGGGGCTCAACTTGGAACTTAACCTGAATTCAAAACCTGTGCTATTTCCACTCTTCCAAATTGTTATATCTGTTCTGTGATATCTATCCTTCTTTCAATCTATCATGTTTTATTTATCTCTTATGCTACTATGTACTTACTGTCTCAATATTATTTTTGTACATCTACTATTTTCTTGTAAGATAGCCATTGGAAGTTCGAAAATATATCTTCATATTTATTTGCTTATTTAACCATTTTCGCTTTTATTCACTCAACAGATACTTATTTCACATCTACTCTGTGCACAGTCTTGTGCTAGGTGCTGGGAATATAGTGGTAAACAAGATAGATATTATCTTAATGGAAAACACATCTTTGTGTTCTCCAGCTATCTTAGGCTTAGTAATAGTATTAATGTTATAGTTAAAGCGAGAGGTCTGAAGTTCAACTGAGCACAGATCCCAGTGCATCTGTTTGTTAGCTATGTGCAACTTAGTTACTTCCCACATATATTAGAATTTTGGGGAGGGCAATCATAGATCAAAACATGTGAAATTGTCATTTAAGTAGGTCTAAAAATGATTGAATATCAGAAACTGCAAATATTCAACTTAATATAATTAAAGCTTTTAGAACAATGTCTAGAACATATTAGCTATTAATATTATTTTTGAGGGAATATTTGAAAACCTGTTAGCTGCACTTAAAGAAATTTGGGCATATCATGAGGTTTCTAAAAGTTGATAGTCTTTATAATCTAACCTTAAGTCATATATCAATTTCAGGTATCAGGTAGCAGTGATAGAAATACATAATTTCTGATGGCTGTATAATAGCCTATGTGAAGTGAATTGCTTTTGTCTCAGATGAACCTTCATAAACATCCTAGTTACTGCTCACTTTGGTAGAGTTAGTTCAGAAAACGACTCCTGAAAATAAAAAGCTAGAAGGATGGCTTTTAAAATTGACAGTTATTACAAGAAATTGTGGCATTTGACTAAATTAATGAAATGGAAATCAAATTTAGATTGTTTCCTTATTGTTTTTTAAAATTAATTTTAAAAATAGAATTCACATATCATAAATTTATCACTTTAGATTGTATAATTCACTGACTTTTCATATATTCACAAAGTTCCACAATCATTATGGCCATCTAATTCCAGAACTTTTTTTATCATCCTTGAAAGAAACTATACACACTGATAGTCACTCCCCATTTCCCCTTCCTTCTATCCCCTGGCAACCACTAATCTACCTTCTGTCTTTATGCCTGTTCTGAACATTTCATATAAATGGAATCATACAGTATGTGGTCTTTTGTATCTGACGTCTGTCATTTAGCATGTTTACAAAGCACTTTCCTACTGTAGCATGTATTAGTACTTCATTTTTTTTGCTTGAAAAATATTGCAGTGTATGAATATACTACATTTTGTTTATGCATTCGTTGATGAAGATTGAATTGTTTCTAATTTGTGGCTTTTATGACTACTGTTTCCATGAACATTTACATACACAGTTTGTATGGCTATGCTTTCATTTCTCTTGGGTGTATATACCTAGAGTTTATAATCGTTGTATGTTGTTACTGCTGCTCCTGTTTGTTCGTTTAGTGATTTTCTGATCTGATTCTGTAAAATCTGTATTCTTTTTTATATATGGCTACTGAAATCTCTCTTTGGTTAGCTTAATGATCAGCTAATGATTAGATAAAAATTTCCTTAAATGCCCTGATCTAATAAGTCTTCCATCCTTTGCTGATGGGCTCTGTGTGATGTTGGGGTACATCCTCAGTGCTCCAACAGGCAGTTGTAACTCTGCCTTAGCCTTCACTTCCTGCTTGTGCAGAGCCTCAAAATCTGCCAATGATGAGAAATTATGGCCCTTTCCGTTTTTTTCTCAGGCAAACACACAACCCTGCATTTGTTTCTGGCCTTTCTGAGTCCTAGAAATACATCAGAGCTTTCCAAAGACCCCTCTGGAAATGGTATTTCCTAATGTTTCCTTTTAAGTGTCTTGGTCAGCTTTTTGTTTACCCAACTTTCACTGCTGCTTCAGGTAGTTGGGATGTTAGACAGTTGCCACTGATTTTTTTTTTTTTTTTTTTTTTAAACAAATACCCTGAGGAGAAGGCTGTTTGCAGGAGTAAGCTGTGAGTCAGGTCATGTAAAAACCAGGCTTGTGAGTGGAGGTTCCTAGAGAACTGCTAGACATGTAAAATAATGACAGTTCTCTCATGGTAAGATTTTCAGGGAGCTTTAAACTATTCTGCTCCTCTGTTCTCCCCACCCCAATGCCCCAGTGGTTGTTAAGCTCCTTGTTTTCTCAGCTCTGTGATCATGAGGCTGTTGGTTTTCAAGGCTGCCATGGAGCTGGACAAAGGGAAATGGATATAGGACAACTTAAAAAGCCACAAATCTCACATTTCTTACTGAGATTCAGCCATTTTTCTTGAATAAACCATCTTCAGATTGTTGCAAGCCTTTGGTGAATTTCCAAAGGTGATTTTCACAGTTTTTGCTGGTATTTTATTGTTTTATGGAATAATAGATTTTGGGAGTTTATTTTGAAAGTGCCTAACTTTTCTATTTGTCATTGATATTTACAAAATATTAGACATGTAACATATTTTTGTCTTCTTTTACTTCTTTTGTAGCTGGGTGTGGTGGTGCGCACCTGTAATCCCAGGTACTCAGGAGGCCGAGACAGGAGACTCACTTGAACTTGGGAGGCAGAGATTGCAGTGAACCAAGATTGAGCCACTGCACTCCAGCCTGAGTGACAGAGTGAGACTCTGTCTCAAAAAATATATATATACATAGAGAGAGGGAGAGAGGAAAGATCTATCTCAAGTTATTTTTATTGCTGAACACTAATAGGGGCTTAATATTATTATATAGCCAATAAACACATGAATGAATTTTTGTGTTCATACTTTATTTATCATATATGCAGAATTTATTGACCATTTACTCTTTACTAGGTAGTAGGGTAGAGCTAAATAAGGTATGGTCACTATTTCAAGAAGCTCTCAGTTTACTGGGCAAGATTAAGAAAAAAAATCAACAACTATAAGAATGTGTTGTGATAGAAAAATCTAGTAGCTGTAGAATTTTTATCTTTGTACATATCCTCAAGGCCTGACACACCATTATTTCCTACTTGGACTATTGCAACTAGCTTCACCATCATCATTTTTATCTTTTCAATTTATTTTCTATACCACAAACAAAATGATCTTTACAGAATGATAATTAGGTTATGTTACCCTGTCTCTTTAAAATCCTTCAATGATTTTCGTCAACCACCAGTTCAAATCATGAGATTTCCTTTTTATAGCCTACAATTCTTAGAAATATCTGATTTCATTTGGCACTCCATCTCACAGCTCATTCTGCTTTCATGATATTGAGCTCATTCCAGTTCCTAGAGCACAGCACAACTCTTTTTTGTCTCATGGTCTTTGCACATATTGTTTCTTTTGCTGGGAATATCTGTTCCGCAACTCTTTGCATAATTGACTTCAGATCATTCTAGTGTCTGCTTAAATATTACTCAGAGTGGCTTCCCTGATCACCTGCCTGTCGTTCTAAATTATATACTCTCATTTTACTCTATGCAATTTCTTTTGCAATCTTTATCACAGGATTTGCATATTTGTATATTTGTAACTATATTTTATGTATATTTGTTTAATCTCTATTCAGCTAAAATATAATCTTTGTGAGGAATGTTTCTTTTTATCCATAGTATGTCCTCAGTAAATATTCAAAAATAAATTAATCAGTGAATAGAAGACATTCAGTCAAAATATGTCTTCATCTGAACTTACGGGATGCCCAATTCTACCAGGTAGTAATGCCTGAACAATCTCGAAGGAGTAGTTTGTGTTAGATGAAAATGGTTTGATATTCTAGGATAACAATAGTAACATCAAGCGCAAAGGCCCAGAAGTGTGGGAAAATAAGGCTTAGGAGAGCAGTTCTCAAAATTTTTGATTTTAAAATCTTGTAACTCTTAAAACTTATTGAGGACCTCAAGGGAGATTTTTTAAAATGCAGGTTATATCTATCAATATTTACTGTATTAGAATTGAAACTGAGAAATTAAGAAAATATTTAATTTACTTAAAAATAACTATAAACCCACTACATGTTAAATAATACATCTTTCATGAAAAATCACCATATTTTCCAAAAAAAATTGTGAGAAGAATGACTTTATATCAAAGACAGCTAGGTTCTCATACCATCTTCATTCAATCTGTTGCATTATTTTGTATTAGTTGAAGTGTGTAAAGAAGGTCTGACCTCACTCAGATAAGTGGTTGGGAAAGAAAAAAAGTGTATTTATTATTATTAACACCAACTTTATCAGAAAGTCTTTAAGTATTGAGAAGCTGTGAAACTCATACAAATCATACAAAAGTTTTGCTTGAAAGCTTGAATTTTATCATTAGCAACAAATATTGCTGGTTGTTTTCCTTAAAGCGATGGGCTCGCTTTTTTCATTTTTGAGAAAATGTCGGCCAAATGCCAAGTCTTAATAACCATAGTTATTCAAGGGTAGTGGGTAATTAACTTGCTTAGGATCACATAGCTGGTAAGTGGCAGAGCTAGGTCTAGAGACCAGATCTTTTGATTATATTCTATTATGTTGCCCTATGTCTAAATTATTTGGACTTGCCAAAGCGTGTCTTACAATAGTGTATTGTGGTGTTTTTCCTAGAGAGCATGAATGGTTTAAACAAGATTTGCCCAGTTACTTATTTCCTGAAGACCCTTCCTATGATGCCAACGTCATTGATGATGAGGCTGTGAAAGAAGTGTGTGAAAAATTTGAATGTACAGAATCAGAAGTAATGAACAGTTTATATAGTGGTGACCCTCAAGACCAGCTTGCAGTGGCTTATCATCTTATCATTGACAATCGGAGAATAATGAACCAAGCCAGTGAGTTCTACCTCGCCTCTAGTCCTCCGTCTGGTTCTTTTATGGATGATAGTGCCATGCATATTCCCCCAGGCCTGAAGCCTCATCCAGAAAGGATGCCACCTCTTATAGCAGACAGCCCCAAAGCAAGATGTCCATTGGATGCACTGAATACGACTAAGCCCAAATCTTTAGCCGTGAAAAAAGCCAAGTGGCATCTTGGAATCCGAAGTCAGAGCAAACCATATGACATTATGGCTGAAGTTTACCGAGCTATGAAGCAGCTGGATTTTGAATGGAAGGTAGGAAATTATAATGTAATAAGATCATTTGTAGAAGCCATTTTTCTATATTGTAAGCTGCTCTGAGCTCCTGAGTTGAGTATTAAGCCCATCTTTTTCTAGTAATATACCATGCACATTAAAAACAAAACAAATAACCTCTGTAAGGATGAAAAGTGGTTGATACTGGGAACCAACATATTTTGAATTATAGCAGTGTTCTTGGTGAAGAAAAAAAGTAATCAACTAGAAACCTTCTGAGAAAATAGCTTACCAGTTTCAGCATACATCATAGCAATGAAAAATCATGAGTGTCTTCAAAGATAGTATGTTTTTACTTTCTCTTTTTTTAAGGGAGGTTTTTTTTTTTCTTTTCTTTCTAGGGAACAGAGGCAGGTGGTTGTAATAGCTAATGGTCAGTACAAATTATATCAGGACATATTTATTCAGTCAATTAACACTTTTCTCCAAGTTGTGATATTCTCTCTTATTTGGCTAGTGCTTTTAATACTTACAGTATATTTTCCTTACTCTCACGCCACAGTTTGCTTTTCTTAAAAATTAGTGCTCAATTTCATTTCAGTTCTATTTGAATATATGTGTGGGGAGGGGCATTTTTTTCTTCGGATATGCCTTTCACTCTTGTTCTTTTCTTGAGGATTGTGAACTTTTAAAGGAAGAAGAAAAATGTGCAAACTTACCACATAAATATGCATTTGAAATGTTCAAATAAATCAGTCATTTTCATTTTATTATCTGTACATGAAATAAATATTTTCTTAAAATCATTTAAAAAACAGATCTCTTTGTTTTGAAGCAGTCGTATTTAGTTAAAAAAGAAATGTTAACATTTCTTAAATTCTGTACTGAAACATTTTTGAAACTAGTACCACAGATGTTTTGAAAATCCAGAACCTTCAATGCAGTGTTTTTTTGTTTGTTTGTTTTGTTGTTGTTGTTTGTTTGTTTTTTTGAGACAGAGTGTCACTCTGTTGCCCAGGCTGGAGTGCAGTGGTGCAGTCTTGGCTCACTGCAACCCAGGGTCAGGCTATCCTCTCACCTCAGCTTCCCTCGTAGCTGGGACTACAGGCGCCTGCCACCACACTCAGCTGATTTTTTTGGTATGCTTTTGTAGAGATGGGGTTTTACCATGTTGCCCAGGCCGGTCTCAAGCTCCTGGGCTCAGGCAGTCCACCCACCTTTGCCTCCCAAAGTGTTGGAATTACAGGCATGAGCCACCATGCCTGGTCCTCTTTGTTCCTTCTACTCCACAAGCATCCATGAACATGGTTCAAGCAGAGACTGGGCAACCAAATTATAACTGATGTTTTAGAGTTGATGCTTATCTAGAGTGAAAGCTAGACCCGATGTAATCTCTGGGTTTTCTTTTTCTTTTATATTTCACTTTTTTCTTCAGTACCCCAAATTTATTCAAGTAGCTTTTCCTTTAAATCTTAATTGCCATACAATACTGCTAGTGGGGATTAAATAAATACTAAAGTAAACTACCAGTAATATAAAAAAATTATTCAGATATTCCTTTCCTACCTCACCCCTATTAATTACTTATTTTGACCTTTTTTTGCATAAAAAGGGAGATATTTTGTAGTTGATTATTTTTATTGATTTTTCACTTTAGGTAGTGAATGCATACCATCTTCGTGTAAGAAGAAAAAATCCAGTGACTGGCAATTACGTGAAAATGAGCTTACAACTTTACCTGGTTGATAACAGGAGCTATCTTTTGGACTTTAAAAGCATTGATGGTAAGGAAGCTATGCATTGCATGAGCTCTGAGAAGATAAAACTTGGCACTAGTTGACCAGATGTTAAAATCATCTCGAAGACATCCGGTGGGTAGGTCATGCACTGGTTTTTAAGTAATCTTAGACTTAACCAAAATGTAAGTGAAGTGAAAAGGATGAGAGACATGTTGAATACCTCTTACCTGGCATCTTTCCACAAGAAGTATCTCCGTGGCATAAAAGAATCATTTGAAGTATTGGCCATGGAGCACAAGTAAGGAACAACAGGGAAGTAGGTTTCACTTTTTAAAATTAACTGATTTGTCAGATTCTTTGTCACATTTCTCCATTCATATTTTATTAGTTAGTATTGTGGTGTCTAAACTTTCCCCTTCATCACCTTTCCTCATCCTGGGTGGCCAGGGTGACCAAATAGGTCTCCACTGGGATTTGGGTTGGATTTAGGTACTCATGGCAATCAAGGAGCCAGAGGCGTCAGGGAAAATTGTCATGTCCAAGAACTTAGTGTGTGCTAAGAATTAAACCTGGGCAAACCAAATCTGATTATTCATTTCAGAGGCCCAAGTGGGATAAAACCAGAATAAACCAAGGGTCAGGTGCTGGATGGAACAAAAATGGAACTGAGTTTAGAGTTAGGGAAGTTGTTTTAAATAAAGTATTTACATTTTACTCTTGAACTACCATCAAATATGTACGGTAGCGTTTATATGGATCCCAGACCTCTTTCATCGAAGTTACATGTTGTTATTAAAACACAGATCCCTGTGTTTTGGTCCTGGGAATCGTAGAATCTGCAGTTTTAACAAGATTTCTCTCACTTTACCCCCCACTTCCCCAAGGCAATATATGATGGTAACTTTTATTTTTACCTTAATGATTTTTTTTGTTGATATGCTAGAAGAAAATAAGTTGTCAAGGATACGCTTTCTTCACATGAAGAGATATCAGTTTGATTGATGCCAGTATCAATGCCCAATACTCCGATTTGAGAAGGACTTAGAGGCCACATTTTGGCTGTGTGCACGTGTTGTGATTGGTAGCGATGTTTGTTATGATTGTTGGAAGGAAGAGGACTGTGCTTCTAAAACACTGAAACATGACATTCATTATTAAGTTGCCTTTGCTCAGATGTGTTTACTTAATATTCTGAATATCATAAATTCATAGGAAGGGCTTGGGCATATATTCTTTTCATATAAATTGGTCTTCTTTGGTACATTTCAGACGAAGTAGTGGAGCAGAGGTCTGGTTCCTCAACACCTCAGCGTTCCTGTTCTGCTGCTGGCTTACACAGACCAAGATCAAGTTTTGATTCCACAACTGCAGAGAGCCATTCACTTTCTGGCTCTCTCACTGGCTCTTTGACCGGAAGCACATTGTCTTCAGTTTCACCTCGCCTGGGCAGTCACACCATGGATTTTTTTGAAATGTGTGCCAGTCTGATTACTACTTTAGCCCGTTGATCTGTCTCTAGTTTCTTTCTGTTATTGCACTATGAAAATCAGATATATTCTTTAAATTTTTATCTTACTTTTGGATAATATCCACTGCAATACTAATTGAGAGACATGAATTATATCCAGGGGACACAAAATACTATTGAAATTACTGAAAACAAAATATCTGACATCTTATTTACTTGTAGAAATCTGTAATTCTATTGTGCCTATGATAAATTCACATAGGCAGTATCTTTAATAGGTTAATATCGATGAAGATTTTTAATTACAATAATGAGTTCACTACAGATGATTAACACACCACACTGGCGAACCATCTCAATGTAAGGGTGGTTTGGCAACCTCCTTGCTTTACTGTTTGGTGTAGGTAAATCCAGTTTACTTCCTAAATTTCAGTAGGCTTTATGTTGTGTTTATGACCCCAATTTATTTTAACAAAAGAAGATTAAAAAGTAAAAGAACCACGAGTAAGATATTATTTAAATGTTGAAATCTTAAAAACCTGCCCCCAAGGTTTCAGAAGCCAACTTCTTTTAACAGTATTTTTACAAATACTGCCTAGTATATTCAACAGAAGGACTGTGGTCATGTCACAGGTAACCACAATTGCAGGTTTCTTAAAAGCAGCTGTAACTGACTCAGTATTTTATCTTGAGATTTCCCTGAATAATATATTTATCTTAAGAGCCTTCAAGTTTCAAATTAGTATTGGAACACCTGGAATTGCAACAACTTTTGTCTTTTACATATACTTACATCTTTTAAAAAATGTCTTCAAAACCTACCTTTCTCAAATTCTTTTGGCTCTATTTATTTTTACATTTCACCAAACAGTGATAAAATAGTTAAATGAAACAAAGCAAGGTATCAACAGTCCCTTAAATGAGAATTATCTTTGATCTTTATTTTGTGTGTTAGATGTTGGGGTCCTGGTGCATCTCATAATGTTGATTCTTCATGGCAAGCCACTCCCTTCACCCCACCTATCCTAGTCACTCTTGTCTTTATTCATTGTTTGATCCTCAGTGGTTGGTGGGTACAGCTTTGAATCTTTTCTGGTTCCAAGTTTGAAAACACTCTTCTGGCCCTAAGGGCTTTTGTACACTTCCAAAGCTTGATAGGCTATGACCTTCACTGTTGAACCTGATAGGGCAGGGAAGCTTTGAACATCAAGAAAAAATTTTTATCTTCAATAAATAAATATGTGTATTCACACACCAGTGCTTTTAAGCAAAAACCAGTTTTTGTTTTGTTTTGTTTTGTTTTGCTTTGTGCAGGTTTTTTTAAGATTAAAAAAACACAAACTATAGCAGGGTAGATAATAGTTTATGATTATATTTTGTTTTGTTTTAGTAAAAGTATTTAATTTTAAATTATGTGTAATTTATCTAATTTGTATTTATTTGTTATTTTTATGTTGTAATTAACACTTATTTACCTGGATTACCCTAAAAAGCATTAAGCTCTTGAAAACAAAAAAATGACATTACCTTGACAGGTTTCTCTTTGCCAAAAGTAATGTATGTTCTACCAAGAAGCAAATGAGAATATTAGACTAAGTTTCTCCTGTGTTAGTGGAAAACAAGTGTGTCTATCTTTAAATATTCTTTGAATTAGGAGTTTGCATTGTGTCACATCATATGGGTTTGCAGATCTTTTAAAAACTGATGTTAAGTAACTTATAAGTCCAACTTCTTAATATCAAAATGAAAGAATCGTTCACCAATTTGGGAATGAGGGCGGGTTGCAATTTGAGATAGTTTAAAGTTTAATTATTGAAAGACTGCCATCTTGTGGCACCAAAGGGTAATTTTTACCCTTTGAGATGCTGTGATTATTTGTATAGAGATAAGCAGTCCTGCTGTGTTAGTCTGATGTGCATTATAGATATGGCATATTTTGGGTTCTCCAAATGGGCACACACCTGTTTTGGGAAAACCAGGGCCACTTCATAATATTGTCCTGATTATGAATGGAATTACCTTAGAAATAAGGAACTAATCAGATTACTTAACCCCAATGACAAAATCCACAAAAATTTTGAAGGCAGAGAAACAGAAGGAATCCAGTGGTGTTTTAGCTCCATTAGTCTCATCAGATATTAAAAAATTGTTCATATCAAAGTTACCTTATATGGATGATTGCCATGTTTTGTAAGAGTTAATTTATTTACTGTTTTCTAACTCTTGCCGGTATTTATGAACAGCTGTAGTTTGATATTTACCTACTGAATTTTAGGAGAACTAATGGTCACAGTTTGGGTTCTTTTATGTGTATGTTTTTAAAACAGCTATTTTGTGAATCTAGGTGGTTGGGTTTTAGAGAGAAGATTTCAGGAGACACAGTCCAGCACAATTAGAGCTAAAACATTGTTACAGCAGGTGTTTTTGTTGCTCATGGGCAGATAGAGGGAAAGAATCAGTTGTTAACCCCAAATTTCCACATTTCAGTCTTGTAAACTCTGGATGTGGTAGGTAGGTGTGGGCTAAGAATAATTTCCTCCAGTTAAAACTCAGGAGAAGAGCTTCTATTATTAGGTTATAGATAAGGCCTTAGTTATATCATGGAAATGAACTCCATGTAGTTCTAGAACTGCATTTCCCAAAGTATATCCTGTGAGATGCTCCACAGAAAAAAGATTGAATGGGCTAAGTTTGAAAAATGTTGCATGCTACTCTTCCCCTCGAAGATGACAGTAGATGTCAGCATTAAAGACTGACAGGTCTTTCTGTGAAAAAAAAGAAAGCCATATAACTTTGTTGAACTTTGCCCAAATTAATTTTTCATTTTAAAGAACTTAATATCCCATGAAAAAAGGCAAATTTGGGAAATACATTTTTTAGGAAAATATTGTCCCAGAATGCCATAATTAGGGTAGTTAATAACACTTCCTTTTCTCTTACTGGTTGTTGGGAGAGTCTGATTGAAAATTAGAATCATTTTGTTTTAACTTACAGACATGTTCATCATGAGTGAATGCTGGATTAAATAGAATTTTCTATGTCTGTGACTTGTTTCATGACATCTTGGTTTTCTTAATCATCTTGTGTTATTATTTGAGTGCAACATTATTCTTATGAATGGGTGACTGAAAAACCTGAAACAAGATTACTTGTTTAAAAAAAAAGTCTAAGAGACTAGTGACTCATGCTTATGGCTCTGTGGGTAATGAATCGTCACTGATTCTTTTAAAATGTGTAGTCAGTGAACATTTTCTAAATACTTTTCTTTGGGATACCATATGAAGATCTAATTCCTTATGTTTCAATGTAGGAACAGCTACCTTCTCAAATAGAATACGCAGGGGGGGAAGTAGGCAAACCATTTGCAAGTTGGGTTTTTGTTATGATTAACCTTTTAGGAGATGCTTTTATAATCTCTAGTGTTTACATTCCTTTATACTAGCGATCTATAAAGAGAATCCAGGAACCTAAATCAGAAATAATCGTGTTTCTATGTCAAGGTATTGGCTATATGTAGCACAAACAATTCTCCATTTTCTGCAAATGGGTTTTTCAGTTTTATAATTCTGGGTTTGCTTTTTCTTATTCCCTAGCCAGTTTGTACTCAGGGAATACAAATTGATTTTTATTGTTAAATGAGACATAGTTTAGAAAATAATCATAAACAACTATTATAGATTTTTGATCTATTTGGATTTATCTGTAGCATCGAATAATGTGCAGTATACTGAGTTAATGTAGGCATCTCACTTTCCATTTATAAAATGTAAAAACCTGGAACATGCCTGCCACAGACACCACTTTGTCTATTCACTGGTTAATAATTTACATCCTATTAATGGTTGTAAAATCTCAGTATCTAAATGCTAGACATGTTCACAATTTTGTCTGTTTTTGTTTATTTGTTTTTAAAGACCCAAACCTTTTCAATCTTGCATTTATTTACTTGGTTCTCCTGTGTCACCCTGTGGCTTTTTAAATAGGAAATGTAATTTATTTTAATAGTAGTTCTCAAAGACTCTATTGAAAACTCTGGATGAGGGATATGTGCAATCTGTTGGTAAGTCACATCCTATGTTTGGCCTCATTTTTATAACTCCTAAAATGAGAGAGGTAGATTTTAACACTTCTAAGGTACTTTTGAGCTTTAAAGTTCTTTTCTGCTTTTTCATATGATTTGTGTTAGTGTTCACTTTTTATATATTTAGAGTTTTTATACTAGTGTGAATGTTTCTGTTTTGATTTGGTGAGGCATGTCAAAGGTATATACTTGAATATTTTTCTAAATACAGCTGCCAGAGAAATGCAAATGGCAAAAATCATCCAGAAATCCAAACATGGTGAAACATCATGTCCATTTGGCATGAAGCAAAGCGTTACAAATTTGGAGTGATGAAAGTGTTCCATATATTTTTTATAGTGATTTTTCGATCTAGAGACCCTTCACATTGTTTACTTACTATTACAGTAACTTTGGGAGGAAACCAGAGAAAGCATTTTTGCCATTTCCAGATGAGGAAGCAGGACCAGAAAGCTCGTCATAAAGCTTTAACACCATACAAGTATCCAGCAGTGATCAATCGCCCTTTATAGGAAACCACCTTTCCTCTGGGGAAGAACAGTCTGAATTAATAAAACATCAGAGTGGTTGAGTAATAAAAATAAATACAGATGTTTTGCTTTCAAGTCTTAGAGTGACATAAAGTAGTCTTAAATAAATAGTTCTTAGTTTGTTTTAACCAGTTGATTGTACTAACAAGATGTAATTATCTAAAGTATTTATGATTAGCATATTGGTTTTTATAAGTATTTCTAAGTTATTGAGGGTGCTTAAAAATACTGAAGAAACTTTAAGACATGATTCTTCTCATAATTTTATGTGATTCTTATAGCACAATCATTTTTCAAAAAGGAAAACTAGGCCGGGCATGGTGGCTCATGCCTAGCACTTTGGGAGGCCGAGGTGGGTGGATGACTTGAGGTCAGGAGTTTGAGACCAGCCTGGCCGACATGGTGAAACCTCATCTCTAATAAAAGTACAAAAATTATCCGGTGTGGTGGCAGGCTGCTTGTAATCCCAGCTACTTGGGAGGCTGAGGCACAGGAATCTCTTGAACCTGGGAGGCAGAGGTTGGAATAAGCCAAGTTCATGCCACTGCATGCCAGCCTGGGTGACAGCACAAGACTCTGTCTCAAAAAAGCGAAAAAGAAAAGTAGCTTCAGTCCCTGTCTAAATTGTTATAGTTTGTGACTATTATCTGAAATAGTCTTATCCAAATTTCATATGCAGATTGATAATTTTTCATTTTGTATGTATATTAGATGATATAACTATTTTCATAGAATACTTTTCTAATTTATAAACACTGAATTATTATTAGCTTGATAGAGTTTCTCCCAAACCTTATAAAATTTTGTAACGTACTTATGTTTGAGCTTTAAAAATTATAAAAACTTCATTTAAACAAGTTGCTGGCATCCTTACTAGCCTTTCCACCTATAATTATGATGCATTTGATGCCACTGAACAGTAATAGCACAAAGAACAGGTCTCACAGTCTAGACTGGATTGAGTTTTAATTAAACTTCTTCAGCCATAGCCTGATAAGAATCAGGCTGGATCTAGAAGAGTTATCAGACTGTAGGCCTGTATTAATTTTGCAAGCTAATGTTAATGTTTACTGCCAGCCTTGCATAGCAATGCCAGTTTGCAGTTGTGACTATGTGTGTGACTTTTGGTAAAAATGGTTTATATCTAAAGTAGTTTAGATTTTATGGAAGTGGCTCTTGATGGTTTGGACAAGCAGGGTAGGTAAATTTCAATTATGTTTAAAGTGTAATTAAATCCTAGAATAGAGCACTCTCCAGAAAAAAAGTAAGAATTTAGAGAATATCCTGGCATAAAAACGTTTTTGAATAATACATAGAATTTTGACAAGGTTCATACAGTGCACACAGTGTGACCTTTTTTGAGGTGGGCAGTGGGGGTTGCTGCTTTGTGTTGATTTAAAATTTCAAGGAGGAACAAAAACATTCTAGCCAAGGAGAATTGCATTGTTAATTTTTTTCTACTAATTTAAACGTGCATTTTTCACAGTTACATATTTCTTTAAAATAAGTTTTGCTACCAAAAATAGCAATTTTTCTAGACAGATAACATTTTCCTAAAGTGGAAAAGAAAGAGATCCACTGTTCTAAAAAACAAACAAACAAAACACTAAATTGTGCCTTCTCCCTTAAATTATAAGAAGAGTAATAGTAAAACTTGTTTAAACTATGTTTTCTTTTTTTCTAATCCCTCTCAGTTCTCCTTAGATCTGCCTCCTACAAGTGATCATGTTTGCATCTGCCTGATGGAGTTCCTTGGTCTAGCCTTTCACTATCACTATCAGAAGTTGTTCACTAAATGTATTTCCCTACTTCTTTCATGTTGATTGACTTTGTAAGTCACATTGGTAAACATAACATTTGGCTACCTTCTTATGCTTTAAAAATTAATGCAATGAATGGCAGTTTTTATATTTTAACCCTTTAAAAAGTTTGTCAAGGAAACAACTCAGAGCTAAGAACAAAATCTAACTTGGAATCAGTTTCTTCCTTTGGCTGCTGAAGCAGCAGCAAGTCACATAACCTCATTTAGTTTTTCCATTTACAAAATGTGGATGATAACCTACCTCACAGATGTGTGTGAGCAACTGTTTGGAAGCCCTTGTTTAAATACAGGGTTTATATCCCCACATTCAATGTAAATTCCTTTTTTAAAAAAAAATAAGTATCTTTGATATTGATGAGTATCTTGATTTTTAGGTAAGATCACAGTTTCACAAATTGTGGTGTTCTTAGGTGACATTTAGTCTTTCTTGAGACCTCAAGTATTCAAATATCAAACTTGTCCTGTGTTGTAACAAATATTCAGAATCTCTTAAAATGTTGGCTGGAGCTGCCTTAACGTACCAAAATACAGCTCTCAAGACTGTTCACAAATATCTGTGGTTGTACAATGTTTTGAACATTTAATGTAAAGTTGTTACAGAACTGTGAACTCTAAGGATAGTATCTTTATTATTTTAAGAAGAATGGTTGTGTTCTTTGTCAGGTATGCTTAAATATACAGTGGATTTTGAGTGCAACAAATAAAACTGAAAATTAACAGCCATTAGGTTGTGTCATGACAATCATAATATAGGATATAATATTTACTTTTTTTTCAAAAACATCCTGCATTCATTCATTCTTAGCCTACCTTTGAAAAAGAAAAAAAAAATCAATAGGTTGATACATTGACCCATTGGAGTACTTCATTACGTATTTATTGAAAAATTTTTTAATTGTTAAAATTGGGACCACTTTTTATAATTGGTTTCAAGAAAAAATAGGATGGATGCGGAGGCTCACGCCTGTAATCCCAGCACTTTGGGAGGCAGAGGCGGGTGATCACGAGGTCAGGAGATTGAGACCATCCTGGCTAACATGGTGAAACCCCATCTCTACTGAAAAATACAAAAAAATTAGCCGGGCGTGGTGGCGGGCGCCTGTAGTCCCAGCTACTCGGGAGGCTGAGGCAGGAGAACGGCGTGAACCCGGGAGGTGGAGCCTGCAGTGAGCGGAGATCGCGCCACTGCACTCCGGCCTGGGCAACAGAGTGAGACTCCTTCTCAAACAAACAAACAGACTTCCAGTGCTTTTGTGTTCAAATAATCTCCGATTCAAATTTCAGTTTTGTTTGTTATATACTTTTTGTGAGTGTTAAATGATATGGGAAGGATTTGTCTTACAGTAACCATATGGAAAAGATGTTTTTCTGAATTACATAGCATTTTGTAGTTACAGATTCTTCCTAATTAATGTTTGCACTGTATGAAACTCATAGGTAACAAACACAAAAGAGAAAAGCAGCCTGATTGCTTATAAGTTTTTTTCACAAAATCAAATTAAAGTCTCTGGTTCATTTGAAAGCTATTTTTGTTTCTGCTCCATCATTATGCTGGTATTCTGCACGCCAATTAATAGTTACAAGAAAGTTGTTAGTGGAAAAGATTGCCTATACTCATTGGCGATTTCACACCATCTTTGTTCATTTTTGTCATCTTAGTTGTACATTATAGTTTTTAACTTAAGCTATTGCATTGGTTCTCTACTGTTGCTGTAACAAATTACTACAAACTTAACAACTTAAAGTACAAATTATCTTATTGTTCTATATGTCAGAAACCCAGCAGGCTTAGCTGGTTTTTCTGCCTCAAGTCACACAAGCTGGAAACCAAAGTATTGTTAGGGCTGGGCTGTGGAGGAGAATCTGTTTCCAGTTGCACTGAGTTGTTGGCAGAATTTCGTTCCTTGCTGCTGTAGGATTGAGGTCCGTGTTGCCTTTTTGGCTGTTGGCTAGGAATCATTTAAAGCTTCTAGAGGCCATCATCATTCCTTGGCCCATGGCTCCCTTCATCTTCAAAACCAGCAACAAGTGGCTTATGGTTTGGATCTCTTCTTCCTTCTCTTCAACATGTTTCTGATTTGCTGAGACTGACTTTACTGCTTTCCGTTTTCAAATTTTAAGGGCTCATGTGATTAAGCTGGGCCCACCTGGACTGTATGCTTTTTGAAAAACAGACTTTAGCCCTCATGAAAAAGACGAATGCAAACATATTGAAATCAGGATATACAGGTAAAGATTTCAATTCGCTTTTTCTAAACTTGAAGGAAAAGAACGGATTTGTTTTTATTAGTGAAAATATGTTTTATTTCCTAAATTGCATAGATAATAGATGCTTCCTATAGGAAATTTGAAAAGTGAAGGAAATTTTAAAAATCTGAGAAGAATCTCACCCATAATAAGAGGCAGCTACTTCTTAGTTTTGTTATTATATGTTCATATTTTTCCTCTTCCGTTTCTTCCCCCTAGAATATACTTTAAAAAGTTTTGAAGATTTGCGGGAGAGGGCCTGGTCAAGAAGGTTGCTGTGCAATCTTAGAAATCTTAGAAGAGTGAGTATATCACAGAGGAACTCGGAAGTGGGAAGGGAGGTCTTGGGACATCTTAAGGTTGCTGGAGGGCCCGGCGTATATATCAATGAGTTTATGAATAGGCCAGTGTTAAGCCTCTGTTACAGTAAAGTGCTTTCTTATGCTGCCTTTTACCTGATGATGCCATTATCTTTATTTTTATACAAAATTGAAAATAAAATGTAAACTTAGTCTTTCCATTGAAGCTTTATGCTCAGGGTTTCTGGGAGACAGATGACATCTGCTTAGAATATCACTGAAGTCTTAGTCATGGTGTTTACATTTTGAAATCTTGCAGATTAATAATGTGAGAAATATATTTTTGATGCTTTGATTCCAAGAATGGAGGAAATGGGACTGATATTAGTGAAATAGAAACATAACTGCATTAAGTATGGATAGAAAGGATAGAAAAACAATCATTTTTTTCTAAAAACCTATACCATATCAATAAATAACAAGTACTAGTTTATATTAGACAAAATAGCTTATTCTTCAGTATATGCTATTTAATAGGCTTTTAACACTGAACGTTTTTCTGTCTACGCAAAAAAATTACTTAACAGCCATTCTATCAAGTCGTACAATTTGAATTTTAAAAATGTATTTTTGTTTTCAGCATCTTCCAACTTCAGAAAAAGCCAGGTACAAAAATGACACCACTAATACCATAGTGTGTATTAAGAATTTTAGATTACTTTTATATTATTACATTGTAGCATAACAACTACCCTGTGAAGTAGATAAGATCAGAGTTATTAGCTGTTTATTATTATTATTATTATTATTATTTTAGACGGAGTCTCGCTCTGTCATCCAGTCTAGAGTGCAGTGGCGTGATTTCAGCTCACTGCAACCTCTGCCTCCTAGGTTCAAGCGATTCTGTCTCAGCCTCCTGAGTAGCTGGAATTACAGATGTGCACCAGCACACCCAGCTAATTTTTGTATTTTTAGTAGAGACAGGGTTTCACCATATCGGCCAGCTGGTATCGAACTCCTGACCTCAAGTTATCTGCCCACCTCAGCCTCCCAAAATACTGGGACTACAGGTGTGAGCCACTGTGGCCAGCCTAGCCCTGTTTTAATAATGAGGAAATTGAGATGTAAAGAGCTGAGTCAAATTAAAACAAGGGACCATGTAATGAGGTGGAAAGTGCAGGGAACAAACCTATCTGAGTTCAAATTTAGTCCCGCTGTCATTCCAAGATTTAAAATGCTTAGTGGCTTGGTGAAGTGGCAAGAGTGATGTATGGTATATGATTCTCTGTTGGACAGGATTATTGCATGAAAGATTTCTGCTCAGCATAGTCATATACTCTTCTTGCCCACAGACCATACTTAGCCTTGTCTTCTACAATGCCTACTCTAACAGTTGTGTTCCTGGAGAGCAGGAGAGGGCTGCAAATGCCCCTCACTGGGTAATAGTTTTAGTTCAGGGGGTCCAAGCAGAGTTTGGTCTCTAGTCTAAGCAGAAATATATTTCCAATCTTTAGTACAAGCCTTCATTTCATCTCCCAGAAAAGAAGTCTCAAAGCCATTCCCTAATTCTCCTTCTCTCTCACCAATACATCCAATTAGTCACCAAGACATTCTCTTTTACCTCTGTAATACCTCTAATGGGGCTCCTGTACCATATATTTCTGTTGCTGCTGTCTTAAGGTATAATGCCTTTTGCCTAGAATATTGCAAAAACAATTCACCTCTCCTTTATTATCCATATTGGTGATTGCTTCCCATCCCCCAAATATCTGGCATTTTCTTCCTATCCCCCAAATAACTAACATTTTTTTCCTGCTTAACCCTTAAATGACTCCTTAATCTCTAGAGGAAAAGGTACAAGTGAAGTCTGTCACATTCTAGCCCCACTTTGCCCCATTGCAAGCAGCTCTTGCCATTTCCCACCAGACATTCTCCACTCCATTTACTATGAATTTCTTCATAATCACCAAAGCGAGCATGGATCTTCCATCTCTGTGCCTTGTCTAATAAATAAACATATTTAAAGACCAAGCTTCAGTGTTACCTTCTCTGTAAAACATTTTTTAATCCTTTAGCTGTTCCATTAATATCTTGTTTAATTATGTTATTTGTAATAATCTCTACAGATTTCCTTCTCTAAAGTCTGAACTTTTTGAATATCTTTGATTCGTGTCTTTTAGAATAAGCTTGGCCTTTATTGGCAAATGTCATTTGGAACATGCAAAGGAAAATAAAAGAACCTAGAAGCTTAAAAAGTCGCCTCAATATAAAGAACAAGGCCATGGAAACAAATTCCATCACACTTGTGAAGGCCAGAATCACCCTGCTTAAAGAACTGAGTGAAATTCTTCAGTTTTTCTGTGCTGAAAAAGCCACTTAAAAATTTGAAACTGTTAAATGCATATGTAGAATTTATTTCTCTTGACATGCAGTGCACCCCATTTAAAAAATGGAATAGATATTACAGCTCAGTTTTTAAATTTTTATTTAATTCCATATAAATGAAAGTACATATGAATGCTATTAGTTGAATAGTTATTTGGGCATAGACAAAATAATGACAATTGTTCTTATTTTGGACAAAAAGATGTTTTAAAGTAAGACAGCATATATATTATTTTGTTAAGTACATTTGGGCACTTCTTAAAATGATGGGTGAATTTAGGAATAAATTATTTTTTGGGAAACTATTCCCAAAAGAAACCAATGTGGAACAGTATTCATATGAGTTTATTTTTGTGATAAAGTAAAAGGACATTTATACCTTTTTAAAGACTGAGTCATAATTAAGATTATACCTTGAACTTGAGTATTTAAAAGACCTTGGTTACACTGTTTACTGTTCAGAATTAAATTATACCAAATTTGAATGCACAACATCTAGAAATTACAAACGCTCGTGTGCTAATATTAGAAGCAAACCAACCATCTGCACAACTGACTAGGTGCCATAAGGCATGATTTCTAACTTTGGATATGGCTCATTAAATAAGTGCTCAAATGCTAACACATACTGTTTCACATTCTCTTGAACTGGCAGTGAAGTAGATACTGAAATAGACATTGAAAGATAACCTTTTAGGAGTAAAACCAACATCTAAATGTTGAGGATTTGTTTTTATTTTTCTCTTTTAAGTTCAGAACGAAAGTTTCCACAGATTCCACCATCTCTAAAATTTTGACATGTAAACTGAAACTGATGTAAGGCAGGACTAGGATCTTAGGACTGGTTCTCCCTTGTGCAGTCCGTAACATTTGATCGTGATCTTTCTAAGGTGACCAACTTTGATGCCTGAGAAAAAAGAAAAATATGCAAACATTTAAAAATATAGGACAATGAAACAGTTGAGTGGGAGATTTCTAGGGAATTTCTGATCTAGTTTAATATGTTTGTGTTCTTTTAAAATGTTGATAAAGCTGTGTAGAGAAGTTTGATAGCATAGTCACAAGAGACAATAATAAAGTATCTTCCAACATGATCCTTATAGAATAGGGTACTGCATGTCTAATTTTTAAAACTTATCCTGAATTTCAATAGATTCAGTAGTCTTCTCTTGAGACTAATGTATACAACAAGGTATTAGGAACTCATGATTTAAAGTACAAAATCAAACAGCTTACTTGAAATCTAGATGTTCAATGAGCACATATCCATCTATAGAAAGAAAAATCACCGTTAATTTGAAAGTTATAGAGAAAATACTTTAAAATTTTTAAAAAAACAATGAAATGTTATGAAAAATAAGCAAATAAACTTACATTTGCCTTTAGAATTACGACATATCACTAGATTTTGTTCGGTGGTATCAATGACTTCCAGTTCTTCTCCAGGACTTATTGGCAAATCAAATATTCCATTTCTTGAATTATTGGAACAGGCCACTGCTGTGTTGATGACAATAATCTCTTTATTGTACTGAAATGAGAAATTACTAATCAGACCATTCTTGCATAGTTATTTTTCATAACAAAACTAATGG